TGCTTTTGTACACTCTTTGCTATTAATATTTTTGCTGTTTCTGCTGATTTTCTTATCTCACAGCTGTTTCCAGCAAATTGTTCTTATATCAACCCATCATATTTACTTTTTTTGCCCCCAATGCTCTCCATCCTATCACAGGGGAAGAGAGGGAGGGGGAAGGAAGGAAGCAGCACACGGTTTGGAGTGCCTCAGTGGAACGACGGAATTGAAGAGTACCACTCCTAAACCACCAAAATGGGGCATAACTTGCAGAGAAACAGCACTATCAGAGGAGATCACACAAACCAGAAATTAACCGCTTTCAGAAATCAGGACAGGGGAGATATTTGAATTAGATGCTTTCACTCTGCCTCTGAAACAGGAGTTTTAGAAAACCTTTTTACTACCTCCATGGAAGTTCATCCTTATTTGGCCGTAGAACAAGACACTGAAAAAATTCAATTCACAGACACCCGTTAAGTATTTGGTATCTCATCTCTGAACAGCAAAACCTCTTCAACAGGCCAAGCCAAGCAGGCATTCCACAAAGGCAAATGTTCATTAATCCAACAATACACTACATCACTATAAATTTATTTCATTGACTCAGTAAGAGTTTTTCTAAATACTAAATAACTAAGAGCAAATACGTTTTAAGAAGTCGAGGTACAGACGCAATTTTGCTCGATCACAGTGTGAAGCATGTACTTTATATCAAAGTGTTGCTAGCCAGAGAAAATCTGGAATGTTCAATGACAAATTGCAAAGAAACTGAAACTAAGAGTGTAAGGATTTCTACTAATAATCTGCACATTTTATTTGAAACTTGATCCTGAAGCCCTTATTCATAAGATCAGACCTATTGAGTTTATTCACATGAGCTTTGGCTGCAAGATTGGACCTTAAGTACTATCAGGTGCACGTGCAGCCTATCATCAGATTTTGGGTTATTCATGCAAGAAGCTACTCTTTCAAATGCAGACTACTTAATGCTTCCTTCTTCATTAACTTACATGTCCTCTTCTGCTGCTCTATGCTTTCATTTGTGCTATGTAAATAGCCTCTCAGTCATCAAAAAAAAAATAATGATCTTTGCAACCAAGGAGGAAATTAGTAGCAGGTGAACACTTATTTTTTAAATCATGTTGAGACCAAGCTGTTCTTTAACTTAAAGGAGATCTTGAAATAAAAATCCAATTTTACTCCTAGCCATCTGAATTATGGGTGTCAAGGTCATAATTTTACATACTTATCACATGCACACTAATCAAATATTAACCTTGATGGCAATCTACTTTGTGATGAGCTGGATCTAACACTTGTGAACATACTTTAAAGCAGTTTATTTAGTGGAACAAGACTTCTTTGATGACATAAAATTAACTGTATCTTATCATACATGACACCAGGAATTTCTGATTTAAGTGTTCCATTTCTTTGTTTAACGTATCTGTTCTACATAAATATAAAATATTATACTACGGTGAAAGCAAAAAACCATCTCAATTCTTTTGCTACTACCTGCCTACAGGCACGTGGATCCTTTTGCAGGTCAGAACGGCTGCAACTGCAAGACATGGCATTAACTTGAATAGGATCACAGCACAGATATTTATGTTATGGTCCACATTATAATCTACATATTTACAAATCCTCTTTGAATTTTCCAAGACATTGGTAGAGAAGTAAACTATCAGCACAGGTAAAAGTCTCTTCATCAGTGAAGACATTCCCAAAAATATTAATGCCAGTGTTCAATGGCCTCCAAGTAATCAACAAATTATAACTGCCTTTAGGCTGTAAGATACATGCAAAGCAACAGACAATATCCACCTTCTGATGCTGGGATACTCTGGATATTACATGAGTATGAAAGTAGAAAGTCAGCAAAAGCCTGCAATAACTAAACTGTTGCACAAAATTTTTCTCAATCATACTTCAAACTTGCCACAAAGATTAATCATCAGTTCGAAGCAGCTGCAACACTATGTTCTATGCACTTCTGCTGCCATTTTAATTTTTAAAAAGCAAATGGAGAGGCTCTCTACAAAATTCAATGCCACAATAGCAATGACTGAACCAGAATCACAAAATTATTAACAGTTCACTAAATTGTCTATTAACAACACATATCAAAAGGCTGCAGGAAAAAATTGTGTGCCTGAAATAACTGATCAGTGAATGAAGAAAAAAAAGATATAAGGAGAGGAGATGTATGGAAACCACTTTGATTTTTGAAGAACCAATTTCCACACAATCAGAAAAATGGCAGAACATCACAGACAGTGTATTCATGATTTTTATCAGCAAAAAAACCCCATGGATAACCAAACTGAAATTTATTAATGCTCAGAAAAGAGAGAATGATGCTGGTATTATAAGGCCAGGGAGTACACTCACTTCTTAAAATCAATAAAACACATTAAAAACACTCCACAACAAACAAATATATATATACATGTATATTATGTATATGCACAGTAAAAAAAAGCTTTCTTGTGCAGGATATACATGTTCTTTAAAAATTAAAAAACCAGCATGCAATGACTGAGCTAACAATGGAAACACTGAATACATAAAACAATTTTGTTCAGTGACACAAATATAGCTACTTCATTATCTCACTGGATGGCAAGCTACATAACTGAACCCTAAATGCACATTAAAGAACTACAACCAAAGGATGATGTTTCAAAGCAAAGGCCTAAGGCCAGATTTTACTACATCACTTTACAAATTATTTGAGTGACTGCTTCTTAAGCTACCACAGTTTGCTAAACACATCTTCACCTTAGACTACAAAACAGCTTATCAGAGGGTAATACACTACTCCAGTATTATTCAACGTTTGCATCAGTGACCCACTAATGTATGGCACAAAACAAGATTTTATTTATGTGAATAAATGCCAAGGAACAGCACCTCCTGTGTTCCCAAATAACTACATCAAAACCAGACAATGGAGCAACTATAAATTTGTGGCTTGTTCAAACAATTATGTGGTACTGAGCACCTAAAGGAAAAAGACTGAAAGACAAATTAGGGGTTTTTTTCTCTAAAAACACAAAGTAGACAACTTAGAACAATTCCCTGTCAGATATCTGACCTTAAGCCTTCCTTGATCTTTACCTACCAATATAAACAAAGTGCATTTTAAAAGATCATTCAAACTGGAACATGGAGAATGACTATAACTAAGGAAAATGTACAACACAGATCACAGATACAAGACCCCTGGTCCCAGAAAAAGTGCACCAAAAAAAAAAAATCACAAAAAGCTTTTCATACTACTGTGGATTGAAGTACACACACTTTTCAGATGCACAGAATGTGAAATCCGCCATGTATTTCCAAATATGCATAGGAAGGTGTGGTGACACAGGAAGCCCACACTGATCTTTAGAGTCATGTCTTGTCCAACTCACTTATTTGGAAAATGGGAATATTTGAACAGTGCAGACACACAAAAACATCCATACACCAGGCCATGCAACAGTATTTTATCTCAGCAGAAGTGTGTATCAAGACACAGCACTACCCCTTATTTGGAAAAGTATACAAAGCGAAACATGTGAGAAGCACCTGCAGTAGCCCCACTCACTTTCTACTCCCTGCCACAGTTCTTGGCAAGAATGACGAGAATAAGGTAAAAAGCAAGCTTCATCAATCCCTGGCAACAAAGCTCTGGCAGGACAAACAGCTGGGCAGCTGCAGCAGAGAGCCCAGGCTGACAAAAGCTGAGCACGCAAGCAAGGAGCACCCCCAGAGGGCTGGAACACCTCTCCCATGAACCTGGCTGAGTGACTTTGGGCTGCTCAACCCAGAGAACAGACATCACCAGAGAGGCATTACAGCAGCTTCCAGTAAAGGGGCTACAAGAGAGCTGGACAAGGACTACTGACAAGAACATGGAGTGATAGGACAAAGGGCAATAGCTTCAAACCTAGCAAAAGCAGGTAGCTTTAGATTAGATGTTAGGAAGAAATTCTTGACTGTGAGGGTGCTGAGGCGCTGGAAGACTGCCCAGAGAAGCTGGGGATGCCCCAGCCCTTTCAGCCTTCAAGGTCAGGGCTTCAAGTACCCTCATGTAGTAGAAGGTGTCCCTGCCTATGGCAGGGAGTTGGAACCAGATGACATTTAAGGCCCCTTTCGACCTAAACCCATTCCAGGATTGTACGGATAAGGCACTTTTCTTCCTAAGGCACCATGATGCACAAACAAGCCCTGCTTTCCTGCAAATGGCTATATATCTGCCTGCTGATGTAAAGAAGTGAATTGATTTCTTATTGTGTGCATAGCTTTTATTTTACCTATTAAACTGTAACTCAGCCTGTGAATTTTTCATTTTTACCCTTCTGATTCTCGCCCCTATTCCACAGTGAGGAGTGAGCAGGTAGTTATGGGGGGCTGAACTGCCTAGAAAGTACCAGTAGCATCCAAATACACCAACAGATAATGAAGCAATTAATCTTCAGATTTCTGTTTTATTTAGTGGTACTTGGTATCTCCTGGTAACATGAGAAAATCAACCAATGCATTTATCTTCAGCCAAAAAGAAAATTGTCGCACCTTTTTAATCCATGAGGTGACTAAGGTTAAAGAAAATACTGTACTGTATAATCTGACTTACGTAGGTAGATGATATTCTATTATGAAGATATACTAAAGTCAAACAGTAATCTAAATCACCACATAAGCTACATAGCAAACAATAGAAATTACTGTTAGAGCACTAATATGCAGTAAATCCTGAAATACTTTATATTAAATGACTGGAACCTCACTAAAACTTTATTAATGTATGCAAAAATATTGCATCTACAGAGAAACAGAACAAAATCCATAGCACATGAACACACACACACACATATATACATACCCACAAATACATCCACATACACACCTTTATATGTACACATATACACATATATATGCACACATATATTAAATGTGTGCATATATTTAAATGCTACACACAAGGATATACATACATGCATACACACACAAAAATTATGTACCTCTCCGAGGGCTTCATAGCGCTTTTGGTTCCATCTATGCAAATCTTCACGATAATTAAAAACAAATGGCTCCCCAGTTTTAATGTGTCTTAATTGCCCTTCTATAAAAGAAACAAAATCATTATAGTTAATATACTTCTTCATTAAAAGTAAGACACAGTCAATTGCTGAAAATTTTAAATGAAGTCTACATCTAAAAATCCAGCCATTATGAATTCTTCCTCATTTTTGGTTATAGGCTTTTTAACAGAAAACAATTGTAGCATAAAAAATTGCACTCCCATTTTATTGTATATACTGCTAGATTACGCTAAACAGAAATTATGACAGTGAAAATGCACACAGATATCAAATGCCAGAGTACTTCACAAGACATATTTACATCTCAACTGCTATGAATTAACAGTGAAATGTAAACATTAGCAGTTAATATTTGATCTGCAGGTGATTGAATTGTAACTACAAATCTTCTAATTCAAAACTAACTGCATTATAAAGAAATGGAAATACAAAAGGGAGCTGGAAGCTGGTAGTAAGGGAAATATTTATCTTCAAGCTTAACAATTTTCTAAGCTAATCTGAAAAGAACCATGTCTGCAGTTAGGGAAAATATCTTAACCCCAAGATGAAATCAAGTAAGACCTCCTAGATTTAGGGTTCACTGAGACTACAGTAGAATAAAGCAGAATCTTGTTCAGAGCAAAACTACATGCTACTTTTGCTCTCACTGTAACTTCCTGTAGTTGACCTTGTTTATAGCCAAAGTTAACGCCAAACCCAACCACTTGCGAAGACATGGACTGTGTTAAAACAATGATAATAATAAAAAGGCAACCAGTAGGAAGCCAACTACAAGAACAAATATTTTACCAACAATGTTTCAGCCTATCAGACAAAACACAAGTTATGATAGAAAACTGCAGTATATCAGTGAAACATTAAAAACAGTGATAGGTGCCAGTAAACTCTCAAAACTGAAACAAAGGTTCCTCTGTATTGTTTCCTCTTGGATAGAAAAAAATTACTTGGTTCATGTATTTACAGAACTTTTACACTTTGATTCCTGATGCTTTAAATAAAATGTTTAAGATCTGATGTCTATGTTATGTTATCTGACGTCTAGTAGTTATGCTTATCTGCTGATTTAACTTTTTTCCAGACCTGCCTTACCTCAAGTACTAGATACCATGGAAGTATTTCTCCACAGTTTCCTACCCCTGTGTTGGGTTCAAACATCCTCCTTCTCATATTTTTCAGAATAACTTTACTTTCAGCTGCTTCTTCTCAGATACATACTCTTCAAATATGGCATTCATGAACATGAAATGACTCTCGCCACAAGTAACAAATTTCAGCTATATTTTTCTTTTGACTTTCTGGAACCCCTGCCTCATTCAGATTTAAATAATCTAACAAAAAACTTCTGTACTTTTCCACCATAAAAAGAAGCATGATTAAGACATAAAAATACACGACTGAACATTTGAATTAAATATATAAAAGCAAAATGGTGACTTTTTTGCTTTGCTGACCCTTAGCATATGTAATAGGTTTTCCTCCATTCTATGGAAGTCACTCAGGCTGTAAGGTTTAGTAATGGAATATTCAGTAAAATAATTCATTCCCCAAAATTTAAATTTCAGCCCTTTTTATCAGCCACATATGAACCATTAACTCTGAAGTCAGTAAGGAAGACAGACACTGTGCAGATCTAAAAATAAGGAGCTGAAAAGTGACAGAGCTGAACTCCTTCCATCAAAGAAAGAGCATCACTTTCATGACACTTTTAGTCTCTAAGTACCTACCTGTGAAAGCCATCAGGGTATTAAAAAGCTAAGTGTTGCATAAATGACTATCATTTAAAGGAAAGCTTTTTTTTTTCCTTTAAAAGTGGAAGATGTGAAACAGGCAGACTTAGAAACTAAAGTTCCTCTGTTCACAGAGCAGGCACTGCAAGGAAGTAAAATTGTAAACATTCCCATTTCTTCTACAGGTTTTAAACAATCTTGAAAGAGTCACTTCTTGCAGTCTGGTATTACTTTAGTTCAGAAGTTAGTTTCTCACCTGGATTTTAAAATTCATGCACTGGAAATTACAAATACTAAGTCATTTAACACAGAGACTGAGCTAGCTGGAAGTACTTGCTTGCAGTTGTCACACACTTGGCTGCAATGTAAAATTATGTTCCATACCAGAAGAGACAGTCTATCATATTGCTTATTCTTCTATCAACATACATAGGTGTTTTCCTATTGGTATTAATGGAATAGCTGGGACAAATTATTATCTAAAAAACAACTTCTTCTGTAGAAATAAAAATTTATCAGGAAATCAAACATTCCTTAAATGAGTGACCAGTCTTTAATTCTGATTTTTAAATGCTACAGAAATTACTTTCAGAATTTTTGTATCAACAACATTTTTGTAACAGAAAACAGGAAGTCATAAAAGTAGGCCCAGTACAACTCCACAACATTGTATGAAATGAGGGATTTTTGTGATAATTGTATGAAATAAAAAACAGGCCTCAGATTTACAAGTCTATCAGCACTAAAGTTTAAAATTTCAATCCTAACAAGAAAGTATGAAATTTTAATAGGGACTTATAAGGTATAATTCAACTTCTGAATAACTGCTCAACATTATTCTACATATGGTCTTTACAAAGCACGTATGACTTACTTTCATTAAAAATGTACTCAAATCCTTCCAAAGTATCAGGAAATTCAAGTGGTGGCTCATCTTTTTTCATTAGTTCATCCAAGTCTATTCTAGACAATAAATCTAAAAAAGGAAAAGAAAAAATACATAACGTATGCTGTGTCTTTTATTTCCTTTGTAAAACTAAAAACATGCATTTGCTGATATTTGTAGATCTTACAGACAGAAGAATATCCCAGTATTACTGAACACAGGACACTGTTATGGAAATCCTGTTCAAGGTTCAAAAGCTGGACTTCACTGCCTGTATACATACTCATTTATTTACTTATTTATTTACCTACCCATTTATCTCTATGTTAATCTAAAAATGTCCAGAGAAAGGGAAGCCACCAAAGACTTAGCGATTTGTTTCAATGATTCATTACCTCAATGTTAGAAAGTAAGTCTCTGAGGTATGCATCATGGTTTTAACATAAAGTTCTCTAGCTTCAGTTTCAAATAATTGATAGCATCTTAAATGCCTTCTTGAGGAGTTCAGATTATCTGAGGACATCATCTCACTGACATTCACCAGATGTGTGACCACACCAGTCTTCAGCCCCTCCTTTGATACCCAGACTGTTAGGCCTAAATCCTTCGCTCAGCCACCCCCTTTAACAGCCCTCAAGGTAGAGAAACTTCCATCCACTTTACAGCAAGCCATGGCATACACATCCTTTCCAGATTAGGACTGTATGGCCTGGTACAGCCTACATACAGTCACCAATTCAAGTACACTAAAATTAGCATAATCTACATTCCTTACCCTAGATTTAAAGATTTACATTTAAGCAGAGGCAGACTTGTGGGGACATCTTTAAATCTACCAAACAATTACTGCTACACAGGCAATAGTGTACAATGATCTCTTCTCAATGCATATCACCCACACAATGCAGTGCTATGTGTCTAACATATTTTCTGATTGTTAATTAAAAAAAAAAAAAACAAACAAGAAACAATTCAGCAGGATTTCACCAAAATACATTTTCCTACTTGTTCATTAGATGAAATTGAAGACCACACAAACATTCTGTTCCAGAGTGCTAAACTGACTTAACTATAATTATTTCATAGATCAAGATACTTGTGTTACCAAGGAAATACATTAAGTATTCCTAATGTTCTAAGTATATGGATTTTTACCTTTATTATTATCTAACGCTGTAGCTCAAGAAAAAGAAAATTGTTTGAAAAGACTAATTTTCTTTAAGTTTCATTCAGCATTAACTATGTTTCCATCTCTGTATTACTTAAAATTATTATTTTTATATTTTGTACCACTATTTTTGCTTGGTCTTGTTGCCAGTAGGCTACCCACATTACCTCAACTTAGGATTGACACATTCAACACTTTGGAATTTCTACTGTTTAAAATGTACTGAAAATTATCTTTAACATTCTTGAGAGTTCCTTGACCTGCACTTCTGCAACTCTTCATTTTACTTTTATTCCAGCACCCATGACTGTCACCAGCTCTTCCTTCTGAGGGATTCCACTGGGCAAAGCTGGAGGACCAAAAGCCATCTGGTATGGTTGTTGAAATTCAACATCTCTCCAACAAGTATTATGGCTTCTCAATATCTCTGTAGCATCTAAATAGATACTGATTGGATGATTCTAAATCTGTCTTTGTCAGCCACAGCTCACTTTTACATCACATCTGTTTAACAGCAAGTCCCCTGAAATCCAATTCATGCAAGCAATTACGTGTTTGCTCTCGTACACTGTCCTTTGGAAGTTCTGCAGAAGTTCCTTTGGTTCTCAACCAAATGATTTGGAAAAAGAAAAGAATTTTGTCAAAGTCTCCCACAACAGGATGTAAAAAATGTGTCCTTTCTTCCTTTGTACTTTGACAAGATCAAGGTAGCAAGTCTTTAGCACATGTTTCTCTCCTTGGTGAGGAGACTCCAGTGACACTGCATCCCTAGAATTTAATTTCACTTGAGCTTCCATACCATCTTACCATGATCTATTTTGAGATGTATTTACACAGAAGTGTCACTTACTATACAACAACAACAACAACAAAAAAAAAAAAAAAAAAAAAAAAAAAAAAAAAAAAAATCAATCTCCTGAGTATCAAGGACCATAGTATATAAGGTATATTATTCTTATTCACAATAGGTACAGCTTGTCATGACTTACAGCTTTCATCAGTCACTAAGCAGAACTGCACCTGTTCTGAGCTGAAACCACTGACACGTTCACCTTCTTCTTGTGCAACTTTCCAAATTAAAATTATCTAAAGTGTCTTACAGCTTGGCAATTCTTTCCAAATCTGATCTACCATTCTTACCTAAGGTCTTGGACTTTCTAACTCAATTTGAAATAGTTCAACAGAGTTGAAAACTGAGTGATCTGCAGGAGACCTTCTATAGCTAAATGGATAATCACTCAATCACATCATTAGCACTAATCCTTAAAGATAATTAAATTAATGCCATGTATAAAATGGGAGTTTACTTCCAAAGCTGAACTATAGCTTCCTCAAAAGATACTAACTGGACGGAATTGGCACAAAGTTTTACAAAAGCCCTACATGGTTTTCACCAAATACTTCACAAAAACTCAGTTGCAACTGAAGAAACGCCATCTATCATCACATGTAATGGAACACTGCTTTCTAATAATGCTTTGATAGAAATCCAGGATGTACACTTGAGTGGCAAACTATGCTATTTTTTCTCCTTTGAAAGACAATTTAGAATACAACTGTGTGATGCAAACACTTTAAATCAAGGTTTGGTTAGTTTATTTGTAGGTCTTACCAGCTTCCTGTACTTCCAAAGCTGAATGCCACTATCTAAAATATGCCATTTATGTAAATTATTTTTACCCCTAAGTCATTTAGATGTGTTTATTTTTTAAAACATACAATGGGAACTTTATTAAACCAATATGGATATCAATGTCCTGAAAGCCTTTTCCCTTTTAGCGCTCTAGTCCGAGAGCTTTTTAAAAGCTGTAATATGCTTTTAAAAACAAAAGCATCACGCAAATTAAATCAAAACTTTTGAAAACTAAGAACACAAAAGTCCGTCAACTTTCTAAAAGGACAATGATGAATATTTTAAAAAGCAATGAATAGTTTATTCTGTTACTCCTTACCATATATCATTATGTTTTATACTATTTTATGAAAATATTGATAAATGGACACACTGTTAGACAATAAGCAGCAGCACAGGTGGACTAAGAGTCTCTTCTAGTATTGTAATTCCCAAGCTCTAACTTATAATCATATCATATTATTTTCCTTTCCTAAACAATAATTTCTGAAATGTCAATATATGTAAAAAAAGGCAAAAAAGATTCATACCCTTTAATGCAGTGGTCTTCTCTTTTTCATCTGGACCTCCTTGCTGGAGCTGAGCCATCATTTACCCGAACTGTGAACAAACTCTGAAATACTGAGGTAACTGTAGATTAATATTCAAAGGATGACCTGAAAAAGAACAAGAGTTGGAAATTAATAAATTTACTGAATTCTCCTTCAACAGCTCTTGTCTGCTACTGTTTACATCACCAAAAAATATTCTATTATAAGCCCAAAGTCTGACCAAGTTTGGGCAAAGATTCAAGTTCACAAGAATGAACAATATCTCTCACTAATCCTTAAAGTACTTCTACCTAATCAAAACTACTCCCTTCATGATTCTATGTAGCATCAGTAAACAATAAGCCTTTTACAGAAGTGCAACACCTGCAAGTCAAAAACAGAAGATACAAGAAAAACAAAAGACAATCAACAGAACTTCCACAATCTTTATGGATTTTCTTCCTCAATAACTCCACTTTGTTGTCATTACTATACTACATAGTTTTGTTTTAGTAAAGGTACCTGAAGCTCACAATTTTAAGCCACTTTGATTTCCACAATACATTATTGGTATTGAAATGCATTTGTATTGTAAATGTATTAAAATATAAAGCTACATTTGTCCAGCTACAGAACAAATCTCAGTGTATTCAAGACAAGACTTTACATACAAAATCTATTTCCAAATTTCTCCTTCTGCAGAGAAGGCAAACCAGACATTCAAATCCACAAACTCTTTCATCTTGAGTCTGACACCAAGGGAGTGAACTACCAAATCACAATTGCTTCTTCCTTCCCAATAAAAAGACTTCAGAGCATTGAACTCTTATTCCCTTAATCTTTTTTTGGTTCTTTGTTTTATGTGTCAGTCATTACCAACTTGTTTTATTCTTCTCCCTCATGTACTTCATCATTGATGAGCTTGTATGAACTCTATTGTAACTTGTCAAAACAGTAACAGGATTCACCAACTGTACTATTGGATCCCTAACACTTAGACCTGCAAGAAGGAAAATGATTAAGTAACAGTAGTTCATTCCATAGACAGCACAAAAAAACCAACAACTTAGCATAATAAAGACTAGTTCTCTATTCTACATAGACAAAACCTATTAGACATTTTCTTGTATATTAAAGGAGCAATTGTATATTGTATATTAAATACAACAATTTAAGGAGGTGTTAGTTATTAACTAAGAAGAGGGTTTGAAGGATTGTTGCGATTTGGTCTTTTAAACTTGTGGGTCTAGAAAATCCAATAATCCATTTTACAAGTTGGAACTATGGCAGATTTTGACACCTTCCTTCGTAAAGGTTGTTCAGACAAAGCTGATGGGAAACAGCAATACACTTTATAAGAGTCTTTATAAGACATAACTTCAAATGAGTTGGAAAGGAAACGTCTGTTTATACTGAGTACTTCATAAATTATGACATGATTCCGTTAAAATGTGCATCTTTTGTCCAACCCTTCAGTGACCAGTCATAAGTGCAATTACAAAAACAACAGCAAAACCACTGAGATTTTTTGTGCATTTTCTAACCTATAATGTTGTCAATGTAAATATTAATAATTCTTAATTATTATTAATATTATTATGTAAATATTTGTGATTCAAAGGTTGATTCCCAGATACGGATGATATTAAATATTTTCCTCAGATGCTTCCAAGCAGTCCATAGAAAAAAGACTACCAAATACAAAATCTTGTCCATCTTGTTTGTACATTTGCAACACAAACCCACTATATTCTACATAGTCGTATATTCTAATAAATTCCAGCATATTCTAGTAAAGCGTATAGAAAATAAAGTCATTTCAGTTTAAATTATTCAACATGCTAAAAAATGACAATGACAGTGTTTTGTAATAACCCAGATTAAAATTACTCTAGTCATATGAAATTGAGTGGTTCTCCCCATACAACATTCAAAAATTCATAATTTGGTGTAAGTAAGTTAATGTGGTTAAGAAAATACAAACAGGTCCTCAAATATTTGTTGTTAGCCAAGGGAGGAAACATAAAATCTAAATTAAAAGGTTTACCTTGGAAAGTGAGACCCCACCCCCTGATCAGATAAATCAGTGCATAGACCACGAATCTTTGCCATTCTTGTCTCTGCCACGAATACCATTCTTCTTCCTTTATTAGATGAAGACCCTGCCACTGAGTAGATAACAGTTCAACTGCAAAGCTGAAAGCACCAGAGTAAATAAATCTGAATTTAGCTTTGTGAGGCAGAATTTACAATTCTTTTTGACAAAGTAAAAAACTGTTACAGCAGCCACTGGAGGCAGGACTTGATATCATAATGAGGATGGAACAAGTACACAGCACGTTATGCATTGTTTCTGTGAATACAGGATGTTTTGGAATCCCTCAGTGATACTTGTTTAATTAACTAAGAGAATAAATTACTTGAGAGAGTTGGATTTCTGTTCTTTGACAGAGAGGTGCCAAATCCACTACTGATGGTATAAAAATAAACAATGGAAAATTATGAAATTCTGAATGGTTCCATATAGGCAAAGCAGGAATTGTAGGCATTCATTTCAAACTGCAGTTTATTCTAGTTATTAATTTCAAATCCCAGATCTTCAACTGCATATAATGACCACTTAACATAATGCCTAAACGCCATCAAGTTTCTTGTAATAAATACAGACTTTAAATGTGTTATGCTTAATTTTTTGATGTTCTTAAATGTGTTATTCAGACAATTATTTAGATTAGTCTTTTGAAAGCAGCTCTGTGGAGTTTTTTTTATTAGCTACATACAGCAAGTATACTTCCTAAAGCATAAGTTACTATTTCACCTGAAGAAATAGTACAGCAAATAAGTTTAGGTATATTTACTTGTATGTATCTTGTTTATGCATGAAAACTTACATATTCTGACACAAAGTATCTTATACACATTCTGTGCCTCTTTAACTCCATCCCCTGCAATACTTAAAAATAATTTGACACAGATATTCTTCTTTCATGGTTTCACATGAGCCAATAAGGCTACATTTTCATTATACCCCTGCTTATGTAATTACAGAAACTGGCACACTCAAAACAAATGGTTAAAAAATTAATTTTTTAAAAACACACACATAAGAGAACATACGCGTATTTCATGTTGTTGCCTGTAAAGTGATATTAGAAGGTTGGACTACAGACCTTGTGATGGCATAAGTTGTATTTTTTTAAATCAAACTGATACCATATGACACCATATCATATCCATACACACTGTACACATACGCAGGTTTCAGCATACTTAAAATACTCTTCATTGTGCAAATGCAGACATAAGAGTGACAAAAAAAATATTTTGCTCTAAATTAGCAATACCTGAAGCTAAGTCAACATGACAAATACTCCACAGAAAAGCTATAAATTACTGTAGCATTAACAAGATAGAAATAAGAAAAAAAAATACAAGTATCTTCAAAAAGCACAAGTCCTTCAGGCTTATCTGGATACAATGAGGAGGTGTTATCAGAATGCTTCTTTGTGCTGCACTCCTTTATTAAAATATAATAGTATGAGAGTCCTACTCTTTGTAAACTGACATCCCAAGCAAGCTAACCAAGTATGGGTTAGATCTGTATAATGTGGCTGATGATCGATTAAGACCCAATTCTTCTTCAAAGAGATGACTGGGTCACAGTTTGCCTCAAGTCCCTAGTTGGTATTGTCTCAATAAAGCAAAAAAACCAATAATTTATCTTAGTAGTATTTTCTCTCTAATTGGATTTTCTTTTCCCACTTTAAGGGCACTACAGATGACATCAGTAACTGCATCAATTAAGGTTGTACATCACTTTCCCTCACTTAAAATAACGCATTTTTAAGTGTTTATTGGTTTACCCAACCCAGCTCTGAAAGGCTGTTATTTCCAGTCTGCTTCAGATTAAATGGTTTTGAAAACCATTTCAAAATAGTGTAAGAAGATTCAGAGACAGCATCTTGTGGTTGGTTCTGATGATGTTAATGAGCAGCTACAGCACCTCCATGTTAAAGACAGCATTTCTATGTTTGAGATCAGAAATTTAGGATCAGAGGACCAGCTTAGTAATATGTACTTCTTGCCATTAACTACCTTTAAAGCCTGTCCTGCTCTGTTGAAGTTAAAATGGCCTTTCTCACGCATTTAGCACAGACTTACTAAGACTTACCAGAATTTCAAGAAACTTTACCTAGTTGTCCAAAGCACGTTCCATACCACTGCAAAAGGCAGAGGAAAGATGCACAGGAAGGGATTAATAAATGCTAGAAGGGCAGAAGTAACCACTTAAAATACAAAGAAACTGGCAAAAATCCATAAACCCCTGCATCTCAGAAGATCTGTGTACACGACCAAATGGTGGTAGAACTTGCTAATAAAGTACACAACAGCAGTCTGCTCTAACGTTTGATATAGTAGCACAGCAACCACCTTCCAGCTTTATTTACCCCGTAAGTTCAAACAATGGATGACCAGGAGCCATGTGCATTAACAGGATGTGTCAGCAACTCATTACACCAAGCGGAGTCAAACCAACTCCACACATTAAGATTTTAATGATTTTGGTTTAACTTCCTTGAAATGCTGAAAATTACCTTCATAAGAATATCCATATTAACACAAGCAGGAGAGTCAGTTTTCTTCATAGTAGCTTGTAGGGTTTGGATTTGTGCTGAAAACAGCATCATTAACACTCTGAGCAGTGTCCACTCACATCAAGGGCTCCCCCGTCTTCCATGTGCTGCCCTACCAGAAGGCAGGCAGGGGCGCACAAGAAGCTGGGAGGGGACACAGCCAGGAGAGCTGAGACCAACTAACCACATGATGACACACAGCAATAAAAACTTGGAAAAGAAGAAACTGGGAATGTGTGGAATGATGGTGGTTTGTCTTCCCAAGTTACCGTCACATGCGATGAAGCTGTGCTTTCCTGAGGATGGCTGAGTATTTGCAACTCCTTGTTCTGCTTTGTTGGTGTGCACAGCTTTTACTTCTATAAAATTGTCTATCTCGATCCATGAGATTTCTCACTTTTACCCTTGCAGTTCTTTGCCCCATCCACTGTTTGGAGACTGAAGGTGCAGCCAGAGAAGGACTTGCCCACCTACTGTGGCTAATTCACAACA